CGCAATGTCGTTGATGAACAGCAAAAATAATATTGGACCCAACACGAAACCCCGTGGAACTCCACATTCTATTGGTTTTCTGTTGTTAAGATACGACTTGAACGATTCTAGAGGAGAGCCTCGAATTCCATAATGCTGCAATTTTTTAATTAGGATATTATGACTTATACAGTCGAATGCTTTAGAAAAATTGTTCAAGCTAGAGAAGACATTATTGAAGACAGAACATAGCATCAATAGTGCATTTGTTGGTTAAAAATCAAAATTGGTGGATAGTTAGTATATAATATTTATGCAGAAATGATAGAAGCCTTTTCTTAACCAATCTTTCAATAATTTTGGATAAAGTGGGAAGAAGTGGAATTGGATGATAGTTCGACGCTTGGTCCTTATCACCTCCCTTGTGCAAAGGAATAATAATTATAGCCGTCTTGAGGCAATCTGGGAACACTCCTTGTTGAAAAGACTTATTTGTTAAAGCAGTGAGGAGATTTAATGTACATTCCGGTAAATTGAAAAACATTTCTAAAGTGAGTCCATCAGTCCCAGATGATACTTTGTTTTTGATGTCTTTAATTGGGCTGCAAAGCTCTGGTGTTTCTTCGGGTGTTAGGAAGAATAGAGCTATAGTAGTCATCAATTTTTTTGCGATATTTACAAAGTAATTATTCAGGTTCTCAGGGGAGGTAGAGGTTATACTGAAAGATAGCCTTATTTCTCAACTCGTTGACAATAGACCACGTTTCTTCCTTTGTTAGTCCAGGGTTTATGTTGCTTATTTTTGATAGGCCTGAGGGAAAATGCTTTGAAAGCCAAACCAGATAATTTATTTGAAAATGTTGAAAATGCACTATTGATGTCATCAGAGAGGCAACCCCAGTCAATTGTTTGACATGAGCGCTTGGAATTGGAGAGATTTTTTTCCGAATAAATTCAGCGAAACTTACGTGGGGCATTCCTGCTATTGGTCTTTAGAGAAGAGTTTTTGAGTACTGCTTCATGATCTGAAAACCCTGAACTTAGGACAGTACAGTTAACGACGCTTGGACCAAAAGATGACACGACGTAGTCGATAGTGCTAGATCTGGTTTTAGTTATTCGGGTTGGAGATTGAACATGCATGACCATACTAAAAAAGTCAAGTGAGCAGCACACACACTGGAAAAATCTATGTTAAAGTCGCCACATAAAATTAATTTACTGTTGAGAGGGAGGGACTCAACTAAGTTTTGAAAAAATGTAACCAAGTCAGCGTCAGGTGTTTTGTAAATGCAAACAATGTAGAGGTCGTAGATATTGTTGTAGACTATAGAAAGTCCAAATAATTTTTCAGAAAATAAATTGTCGAACTTGGTTACCACCGAAAAGTTGTTATTAGTGGACATTATTACAGTACCTCCATGAGATAGTATACTTCTAGTATATCTAGATACTGTGGTGTAGTTTTGACAAACACAGGCTTGTCAATATTGAGCCAATGTTTAGTTATGGCAATAATTTCTGGAAAATGTAGGTGTTCTAATAATAAATATAATTCATCGGTTTTGTGTCTAATGGACTGAATATTGATGAGAAATACACTAAGCTTGCTATCGTTTATTGTTTCAGAGGGTGCTTGTTCCTCTATTCGCGCATTATTATAATTATTATTATTAAACTATCTAAAATTTTTTGTTATTTGGAGAACCACCAGAATAGTACTTAGAATGACTCTCCCTAATTTTTTGAAGCTGTTAGTTTTCCGCTTCAACTTCCGCCAAATTGATGCGATAGGCGCTGTGGAAACGATAATACAGCTTGCGTAAGGAATCCACATCACTCGGAAGGCCCTCTGATGCTAGCGCTAATTTAATGCTGGTGTTGGTGTAACCTTCAAAACACACATTGGGGGTTGGTCGTGGAGATAGTCTAGGTAAAGCCTAAGAGTTTTCAAGATTGAAGGGTCTCTCAATCTAGCCAGTAGATAGCGTCCATTTACTACATCGGAGTCTCGCGATATTCGCACTTTAGGTAGTGTCATCGGGTCAAAGTTGAGCATTGAGTCGTTATTCACATTTGACTCTACAAGAACATCAGCGTTACTTTGGTGTATATGAGACTTACATGCAGCAATGGCCTCTCTATCGGATCCAATCTTGATTGATTTATTATTTGTAGGCTTTTTCTTTGAATTGCAGTCTGGAGGAAGGCTTCGGCTCGCTGCGGTGGTTAGGTCAATTTGTTGAAGACTTGTGGTAGAAATAGTATGTACAGGTGATGTTAAATTTGAGGGTGCTAAAGATGACAAGGCAGTGTTTATTGTACTACCGGGCAGCCACATATGTATGTCCTCCAACTGTTCAAAATATTTTTTGCTTTTCACGCCAATTTTGAATTCGGAAAGTGAAGTCATCATTTTCCAGCATGGAAAAACAATGGATAAAGTCTGTTGTTACAAGTTTTTCTTTAACATAGTGAGCAATTTGGTTTGAAGTATAAGAGACGGGAATTTCAGACAGAATCAAGTAATGCCAATCTTCTTTTGTAATGGTCTTATAAGTTATGAGTGGTTTAACTTCAACTGGAGTAGCCACTTTCTTGTGATGCGTGTCAGTTTTTGTCGAATTTGACTTATTGTCCCAAGATCTTGATGTTGGGTTTATCTTTAGCAGCTAATTTTTCTATCATAAGTGACATCTGATTAATATTTTTACGCAAATCACCTATTTCCTTTATTAATTCATTTTTTGATGTGGTATGTACCTGGATCTTAATAGAATCATGATTGTCCATGAAAACAGATGACAAATTAAAAATATCTTGTTTCATTTCTCTGATAGATTTGAATAGAGATTCTTGTCCATTGTCCGAGATTTTGGTTTGGTGGCTGTGAATGTCATCTATTTTTTGGTTAAGTTGCTTACACACGTAGTCGTGACTACTCAAAATGTCGTAAATTTCTGTAATGACAGAAAGAAGGTCATTGTTTTTTTTTTTTTTAAACAGGCTCCAAAAGCTTTGACATTTTCCATAGAAATCTGAGAATTATGTAGATATGGTGTTACTTTATCATGTAGGTATTTCAATGTAGCGGAATCACGAACACTGCAGAAGAATCAAATATTGTGGTACTTTTGTTGGTAAAGGATTTTTGTAGTTGTTTTGTCCAAGCCAGTGCAGTTCATGTAGAAATACCGGCGACACTCACCACTACAGCGAAGTTTTTATTTGTCTTTCTCAGAAACGGCTTTTTGGCAGGAATCGCATTTGAAATCGGCCATTGTACCTAATAAGTTTAAATAACTTTAAAGAACTGGATCAATGACAAGGTAATTAGGCCAAGTTTATAAAACACACGCACAACGAAAACGAACACAACGATGTGATGCAAACAAAACAAATCAAGTCAAAACAAACTAAGTCAAAACAAATCAAATTTGCAATACTCGCGGAGCTGCCGAACGAAAGCACAACCGTCCAGTATCACTGCTCGAAGTACTATACATAAAAAAACTCCATAGGACCTGATGGTGTTCCAAATATGCTTTTAAAAAACTCTATTTGTCTGTTAGTCAAACCTCTACACATTTTATTCAATAAAAAAATGCATAGGTAAACTCTTTTGATTGGTGATCAGCTCAAGTGGATATGCCAGAATATAATAAATAAAAACAAACATGGCTTTTATGCTGGACGGTTCACAACTTCAAATTTGCTTCTTCATCAAAATAGAATACTTATAGCTTTGGAAAACTTTAAACAAGTAGATGGTTTATATACAGATTTTTCCAAAGCATTCGACCGTGTAGACAACCACATACTCTTGAGGAAGCTTTTCAGCATAGGTTTTAGAAACAGAGATGTCACGTGGGCCAGTAGTTTTCTGTTGGGCCATCAGCACAAGTTCAAAATTGGTTCTTTCCTTTCTGACTCTATTTATGTCATTTCAGGTCTTCCACAAGGCGGCCGCTGATCTCCCTTGCTTTTCAACTTATTTGTTAATAGTATTTTTGAATGTTTTATTAACAGTGAGGGGCTGGCATGCCATTTGCAGACGATTTTAAAGTATAAAAGGTAATAAATAATTTGAATGATCAAAAACGTCTGCAAGAGGTACTCGACAGATTATCAAACTGGTGCACTGAAAACAAGCTCAATCTGAATGTCAATAAATGTTGTCACATTAGCTTTTTTAAGGGTAAGAAAAAGTTTGACACATCTTATTCTTTGAATAATGTTACTCTCTCCTATGTTTCTTAAGTCAAAGATTTAGGTTTAATGTTCGATGGAAGTTTGAGCTTTGTTGAGCACATAAACAATGTTACAGTGAAATCCTCAAAAAATGTTAGGGCTTATTTTAAAGCATTTCAAAAGTTTTTCAGTTGATATTACAAGAAGTATTTATGTTTCCTTAGTGCGATCAAAGCTTGAGTAGGTATGCATCAGCGGTCAGAAATGAAATTCATAAAGCAACAGTTGAACAAATTCAACACAAATTTTTGAGGCATGTTTCATGTTTGCAAATGCTAAAAAATTTAAATAAAAGTGATAATTGGCATTAAAAATACATAGCTGAGTCAGCAGTTCTGAACGGGTTAGAGAGAAACTTCATAGGGAGAAATGAGCTTGATTCCAGAATTGTGCATCAACATTAATCATCCTAACTAAGACCCAAGTCATCCTTTTTCAGAGAACAACAATCTATTTTGCTTTTTAGGACTCTTCCGATCCATCAACCGGTCAACCCAGGGTTGCACCTTAATTTCGGTTTATTTTCAACGTGGGATTTCCAAGTCAACTTCTTATGCATGGTCAGTCCTGGGTCCTAAATCCTATTATTCGATGTTGATATGACCCTTGACCACCTAAAGCTAGATGACAATTTAACCAATGCTTCAACTGTTTGACAACAGCCAAGAAGTACTGGAAGCAACTCGAAGGATCACAGAGATACATATACTAAATCATTGACCGATGAAAAATATGTCATATTTCTGAAACTTAATAATAATAGCACCATATTATAGTAAGAAACCAATGTAAGTATTAATCAGAAGATTGATCATCGCTTGCTTCATCTGAACCCACACATTCGTGGCATATTGTTCTGGCATACCTAAGAATGAAGATTTTTTTTTATTAGTGTTGTAGGACGGTTGGCTTCTCTTTCTTTTCTTGGTAACTCCCGAAAAGTCAGCTTCTGATGTTTGGTTTGCTTGCGCATCTCTTTTGGGCTTCTTGTATTTTGCAACATTGTCTTGAGTTTCCTTGGCAAATTTGCTAACTAATAGAAAGTATAAAGCTAACTAAGCACAAAAAAATTATCAAAAAACGGTGAAACGTAGCTAAGTCGAACGCTTATCACGGATGCAAGGATTACGACTGATGAGTATCGTTTGGTCTGTTTGTAACAAGAATAGTCGCATGCATTGTATCAGTCAGGTACAAATCCGAGCGCACCCAAAGTTTTCTGGAAATTCCAAATTTCCAAATAGAGGTACGACCATGTAATTTTGAGAGAGTAATAATTATAAGGTACCTAAGGAATACTACATGCCATAAAATTACAAGGTTTTTCCTTTCCGAATTATTTCCAAAAATAATAGGCATGTATCTCCCAGGTGCACGCGCGACTAGTGGAAGGTTAACGCAACCTGGTTTTTACAGAGATACTTGCGATGGGAATCTCAAGAATACCTTTTGCGAAGAAAAGCAGAGGATAACTTCTTGAAAGTGTGGCCACTTTGGATCTGAAAGTTACTGCGGAAAAGTTGCTCTAGATCACGTTAAGCATCGTTATGGCCGCAAATAAAAATTACGAAGGCAGCGGGGACGTCGTATAACCCGATGGAATGTTATAACGTTCGTTGTTATACTCTAACCTAGCAGGGATTCTCCGGCTAGCTCAAAAATAGAATAGTCCTACTAAGTTATTGCATGAGACTCTAAGGGGTTGTAGTTTCTTGTTCTGTTGGATTATAGTAAAACACCTCAATGAAAGACAGAAATAACATTTACGTAGATATATATTATAATCTGATTAAAATAGTACAGGCAATGTGAGAGTAGTATAGGTACCTACCATTTAAAATAAACTGATAAGAGAACTTGTTACTTCAATTAAAAAGAAGGTGCACCCCATAGATTTAATAAATTATTCACTCTCGGTGATATCAATAATACCCTAAAGTTCAACTCCTATAATGATAAATTAGGAAACAAAAATACCTACTTACTTATGTAAAACTTTCATGAGCTAAGCTCCCACTTGAATATTATAAACAATTACACAAATCCATACACTTACGGTTAATACCTAACTTAGTCAAGTACTTGAAGTTTAGGAATTTCCCTTGATTCTTGAGAAGAAAAATAGCTAAAGTTATCTTACTTGATACGACGTTCACAATTACTTCTGGTTGACTTGTGTGTGTGACTGGGTTTCAAACCAGAATAGGCCTGACGGAAGAGGATTGCAATTTGTAACTTGGCTGAAGCAGTCTTCTACTTGAAGTTCGATATATGAATTCAAAACGACGACACGGGCGTCACGTGGATTCAAAAACTTGAATCTTGAAAGCTTGGAAAACCCTTGAAAAACTTGTAATCCTGAAATGCCTTGTGGTGGTGCCTCTCTCCTAACTCGGACAACGTAGTTGCCGGGTGGCAAGAAAAATCCTATAAGAAGTAATAAAAAGACTAAGCCCAAATTTAAGTAAGCAACACGTGCCAACTTACCAAAGTTCCAACAAAATCCCTACTAAGGTAAAACAGTTCCAATCAACGTGCAACAAAGCACCGGCAAAGCAGCCTCAACGAATTTAACAGAACTATTTTATTTGTGTGCTCAGTAAAATAAATCCCGCAATGGATGGACACTTGGCCAAAAATTTACTTGCACATGGACTTTGGATTTCTAAAATGGGTCTAGGAACAAGATGTCGGTGGTTCTTGAAGGTTTCGAGAAGAAGAAAGATTTTCACCAGGGTTCCAATGAAGAAACCTAACCTGGTAAGAACATGCGCCATGCACATGAAATAACGTCAAGAGAAAACAAGGTTGCTACAGCGAGCAGCAACACCAGTGGAGTAGCAACAGAACTAATGGGGTAGAAACAAATTCGAGCATTGCACTTAGTGCACCTAGTTCAAAATATTGTTCCCTGTTCCGAGTATTTCGGTACTTGGCGAATCGATACGATCTTACAGTAGATCGTCAACCCGTGAACGCAGCGTCGATGACGTACAAATACAATCAGCTGATGATTATTGATTTCAGCAAGCCAACCAAAACAAACTTAGAAAATCCCAAGGTAAGTTTTGTATTATAAAATTATAGTCAATATATGAATTATTTCTAGATAAGAAAGAAAATACCGAAGTGCAAAAATAAAGCCATCCCTACTCTCACCATGACAACAACTCGGCGAGTCAAATCAAGGAAGCCCCAGCTCTTGGGAATAAGGTAAGTAAAGTATTACGTTCGTATATTTATGTCTAATTTTCCTTTGTTTGCAGACGGCCAGTTTAGCCGGCAGAAAATAAATGGTTTCAAAACAAATACCTAACCCAAAGCTAGTAAAACCTCTAATGGTGATTTTGGAACGTTCAAACTCCACCTTTCCTTCCTTTCAAAAATAAATGAAATTTATTTTTGACAAAATACATCAACCTGGTACTAACCAAATAATTGCAAGAAGAACAGCAAGAAAAATAATAAAAAAACATAAAAGAAATAAAAAGAAATGAATGAAATGAAAATAAAAAATTAAACAACAACTAATCTCCTGGATCTGGTTTCAGATCCTTAACATGAAAATTACCCACGGAAACTCCATTCCCATCTTCCAATTCATAGGTAGAATAACCTATCTTCTTACAAACTCTAAACGGTCCACAAAATTTGCCAGCAAGCTTAGAAGCAAAATAATTTGCCCCGTCGGACAAGACAAACTGCCTTTTCCACACAGAATCTCCCACACCATATTCAACGTGCCTTCTACGGAGATTATATTGATCACGAGACCTCATATATGCCTTATCCAGCCTCTTTTTCACAAACTCTCTCAGTTTCGATAAATTTCCTGACTTATCAACATCAACTGACCTGTCGTTCTCTGGATCCAAGCGCGAATTGTATTCATTTCCATGAATTACCATTTCTTGTCCAAAATTCACAAAATAAGGAGTTGCATTTATGACTTCGTGACGTGCACTGCGATAAGCACAACCAAGTTCAGCGAGACACTCATCCCATTTCCGATGATTATCCTCAACATATGCTGATAACATGGATTTTAATACCCGATTCACTCTTTCAGTGGGATTGCAATGAGGAGAGTAATTGGGATTATACAAGATCTTAACACCGTAAGAATCACAAAGGTTTCTGAATTCACGACTTTTAAACTGTACACCGTTATCACAACGTAGCTGTTGACACACTCCAAACATCATAAAGAGGTTTTCCTTTATAACCTTTGTTACCGCAGTAGCTGTAGCACGACGTAATGGGAAAAACATACTAAACTTACTGAAGTTATCAGTCACCACCAGAACATACTGATGGCCATGAGAAGATTTTGGAAGAGGTCCACATAGATCGGTACTAACAACCTGCCAACACTTAGTAATGTCCATCTGTTTACCCATAAGTCCAGCTGGTCTCTTTTGTTCAGGTTTTGTCTTTAAACAGATTTTACACCTCCTGACATAAGAAGCGACGTCGCTTTTCATTTTCGGCCAATAGAAAAGTCGAGAAAGACGATGGAAAGTCTTATATGTACCCAAATGACCAGCAGTCTTATCATCGTGATGTTTACGAAGAATATCGCTACGAATTTCTTTAGGAATCACCAGTTTCCAGTAATCTGTGCCATCCCGAAGATACTGATAGTCGGGTTGAAGATATTTATAGATCTTCCCATGTTCAACCCTCCACTTGGAATATTTTAAAGGCGACTTTTCAATCAATCCACGCATCTTTATGTACCAAGGATCCTTCACATCTTGTACATCTATAAAATTTACCTCTAAGTTGTAAGGTACAGCCCTGGATAGTGCATCTGGCACTACATGATCTTTGCCTCGTCGATGAATCACCTCATATTCGAATTGCTGTAAACGCAAAGCCCAGCGACCAAGTCGACCTTGTGGATCCTTTAGATTTTCCAGCCATAAAAGAGAATGACAATCTGTGATCAAATAGAATTTCGAGAGCTCCAGATAACATCTAAGCTTTTCCACTGCCCACAATGCTGCCAAACATTCTCGTTCGGTACTGGAGTAGTTTCTTTCAGCTCGAGACAACGAGCGCGACAAATAATAAATCACAAACTCGCGACCGTCGTACCAGAAGCGTCAGTCTGGACATAGAATGGATGTTTGAAATTAGGACAGGCAAGTATGGGTGCCGAAACAAGAGCATCTTTGATTTTAATAAAGGATTCTTCACAAGCAGGGTCCCAGAGGAACTTCTTATCTTTTCGCAAAAGTGCTGTGAGAGGAGCCAGCAAATCGGAAAAATTATCCACAAAACGACGATACCAGGAAATCATCCCGATTATCCTTCGCACCTCCTTCACAGACTTTGGTCGTTCAATATTGATTATTGCTTCCACCTTGGCAGGATCAACAGCTATACCAGAGCGATTAACAACAAAACCCAGAAATTTAAGTTCAGGTCGACAAAAGTAACACTTGGTCTTGTTAAGGGTTAAGTTAGCCTCTTTGAGACGTGCAAAAACAAGTTTCAACACCTCCAGATGCTTTTCAAAGGATGGAGTCGCTATAATGACATCGTCAAGGTACCTGTGCACATATGGTTCTAGTTCTGGACCAAATAAACTGTCCACCAAACGCTGGAACGTAGCTGGTGCATTATGTAACCCGAAAGGCATCCGGACAAAGTGATACAATCCTCTAGACGGAACAGTGAAGGCCGTATAAGGGCGAGAAGATGGTTCAACCTCAATTTGCCAATAGGCGCTAGCAATGTCCAAGGTAGATAGATATTTAGCGCCGCCTAGTTTGCGTAGGATATCCGAGATGTAGGGAAGAGGATATGCATCTCGTTCACTGACTCGATTCAACTTTCGATAGTCGACACAGAACCGCCATGTATTATCTTTCTTTGGTACAACTAAAACTGGAGACGACCAACCGCTATTGGATTTTTCCACAACTCCCAACTTAATCATCTTGTCCAATTCAGCATTTATAATCTCCTGCTTGAATGGTGAGACTGGATAGTATCTTTGTTTAATGGGTTCTGTCTTAGTGAGAC